AAGATCTTCTGCCCATTTTTGGATTGGGTTGCTTGTTTCTTTGATATTAAGATGTATGAGCTGTTTGTATATTTTGGAAATTAGTCCCTTGTCAGTCACATCATTTAAAAATATTTTCTCTCATTCTGTAAGTTGTCTTTTCATTTTGTTGATGGTATCCTTAGCTGTAAAAAACTTTTAAGTTTAATTAGATCCCATTTGTTTATTTTTGCTTTTAATTCCAATACTCCAGGAGCTGGTTCAAAACATATATTGCTGTAACGTATGTCCACAAGTGTTCTGCCTATGTTTTCCTCTAGGAGTTTTATATTATCTGGTCTTACATTTAGGTCTTTAATCCATTTTGAGTTTATTTTTGTACATAGTGTTAGGGAATGTCCCAATTTCAGTCTTTTACAGGTAGCTGCTCAGTTTTCCCAGCACCACTTACTGAAAAGACTGCCTTTTCTCCATTGTGTATTCTTGCCTCCTTTGTCATAGATTAATTGACCGTACATTTGCGGGTTTATTTCTGGACTTTCTATGCTGTTCCATTGATCTATGTGTCTGTTTTTGTACCAGTACCATACTGTTCTGATTACTGTAGCTTTGTAGTATAGTGTGAAGTCAGGGAGCATGATTCCCCCAGCTCTATTCTTTTTCAAAAGTGTTTTGGCTATTTGAGTTCTTTTGTGTTTCCATAAAAATTTTTAACATTTTTTTGTTACAGCTCTGTGAAGAATGTCGTTGGTAACTTGATAGGGATTGCATTGAATCTGTAGATTGCCTTGGGCAGTATGGCCATTTTAACAATACTGATTCTTCCAATCCAAGAACACACATTTGTTTATGTTGTCTTCAATTTCCTTCATCAGTGTTATAGTTTTTGGCATACAGGTCTTTTGCCTCCTTGGGTAGGTTTATTACCAGGTATTTTATTCTTTTTGGCATGATGGTAAATGGTATCATTTTCTTAATTTCCCTTTCTGCTATTTCATTGTTAGTATATAGAAATGCAACTTGTGTTTATACTTCGACAAGAACATTTTTATTTCAAAGATTTTTTTTCAAGATTTTACTTCCTTATTCTCATTTCAAAACTTCCCCCACTTAGTATTATAAACTCCTATTTTTGTTTCATGGATGGTATCCCATCCTTTATGTTTTGAAAATTTTGAACATTAATTAATGGCTCGTTAATTCATTTCCTCAAGGTAAAATCTCCTCTTATTTGTTTTTCACAAATCACATTGGATTGCCCCATGTGGTTAGTAATTTCACTGGTGGGCGCATATGTACAATTTTTAACGTATGTCATTTGCAATGCCTATTACATACCCATGGAGATGTTTACTAGGAAGATAAGGGAATCCAGATTGCAGGGGAGTGGTAAAGGATGGAGATATACCAATGTTTTGGAAGAACTACCTAAGTGTATTTTCAGGTCACCAAGAATTATGACAGCATCAATACAGGAGAGTGACAGAAAACCAAGAATAAAAAAACATTTAAGTAGTGAGGAAGAGAAGCCCTGGAGTTAGAAAGAGGGTAGAGGAATGCACCAAGATAGATTAGAGTGGGATTATACTCTGATGCTCTGAAATTCAGGAAGAATGGAGAAATGACTGGGAAACACCAATGAAGAGCTAGAAGAACATATACTGTACCTCCAGGTATGGGTACTAAGAGTGTGTGAGAGAAAACAGCCTCCACTTGAGAAGCCTCCAGGGAAAGACAGGTAGTCAGAAGAAGCAGGTTTCAATTATAGTAGAAATTTAAAGGGGATATCAGGAAAGTTGGAAGTTTTTTTAGATGTGAGATTCACTGTGAGTTCCAGAAGGCAGAATGAAAAGGTATAGCAAGTAGAGAAGGATAGGAGGCGGTGAAAAAAGGTCATGTATTGTGTATTTGAAGATTTTTAACCTGAGATATTTTGGATGAACAGGTTCCTACAATGAAAAAAGGCATGATTTTAGTCTTCATGTTCCTATGGCAGATAGAAGTGGCAAGATTTTCAGCACTGAAGAAGGGAAAAAGAAGTCTATTTGCAAAAATATATGTAGTTCTGGGACATAGTATAGTGTCCTCATTCAGGAAGCACCACAACTTTCAAGAGTGATATATTTTTAAAATATACATTTAGACAGACTATTATAAGCCCACAAAACACCAAATCCAAAGAGAATACTTTTGATATGTGGAAAGAAAAGATAACTACAATAAAAAGGCAGTTAGACAACTGACTTCCCAAAGGCAACAATGGAAACCAGTGAACAGTGGAATAACTGCAGTACTGCTAGAAAATAACTGTTTTGACCTGGAATTCTTTGCTTAATAAAACCATTTTTCAAAAATTATCATAAACAAAGATTCTGTTGACCAAAGAAACTTCACTATGAGAATATACTTATTTAACTAGAACTGTATTATTATGTATTAAATGGTTTGCATCAAACTTAATGTGTTAAAAATATCAATTGTGTGAAATTGCTTCTTGTTAGACAGTTAAATAAATGCAACATAATAGAAAGATCAAAGACAGATCCATGCATGAAAAAAAGTATGTAACCCACAAAATGAAGCAACTCAGTAAGGAGATAATTTTTCAATAAAAGTATTGGGACAACTGGTTTTGCACAATGAGGAAAAAAATGAAATTGGATCACTAATTTTTTAAACACTCATTATAACACAAGTCCGATAGTAAATTTGAATGCAAAAAGCTAACTTTACGATAAAATTTTGCTACTGTTATTAATAATTGCCACTGCCTGACATCCAACAATTTTTAAAAAAAACTACCATCAATCCATTTCACTTGAATATTTTTAAAAGCTTTTTTATCAAAGAAAAATTGCATTTCTAATTTGTTTCCTGAATAAAAAGAACTTCAAGAACCATGTGAGGGCTTTGGGAAGGACTGACTACTGATGGGATAAAGGCTTCCCATAGCCTCATGGAAAATCCTAGAAGACATTGGACATAGGCTACTTCTAAAAGTAAGCAAGCAATTTATGAGGTGGTATTTTGGCTGTTATCCCAAGTATAAAACTAATAAAGACCACTGGGCTCCATATGGGCATCCAAGGAGTATTCCCCCATACTTTCTAAATAAAAAAGCTTCCGCGCTACTACACTGCACCGAGTGCCCTTCTGGTGGAACACGGGACTTACACTGAGACATTCCGGCAGCCCCAGGTCACATGACATCCCAGTCGTGAATTATATCCGGCTTGCAGACCGATCGACTTGAGGAGCTGAAGATGGAACCCAAGAGGACCAGCACAGCGGCCCCGATGCTACTCCACAGGAAGTCTGCACTGCATTACTCCCAGGAGGCTCCCACGGAGCTCCGAGGACTGGCCCCGTGTCGCGCCATCCTGCACCCCAAGCCAACCCTGCCCTCCCGCGCTTGCATCCTCTGAAGGGGTGCACCGGTCCTCAAGAGTTGTCCCAGCGTGCAGGACCAAGCCCTACGTCGCCCTCTGCCAGATCCCGGGAGAGCAGCCCGCCGCGCCGTCGGTCGAGGTGGTGGGCAGCCAGGAAGCGCAGGCCGGAGGACCCAGCCTGCCAAGTGCCGCCGAACGGAGGAGCCCACCGGCCCTGGGTCCGAGGCGGCGTCCAGCCTGGGCGAGCTGATGGTGGCCCTGCCATTGGGCGCGCTCACCTCCGTCGTGGTCCTGGTCTCCGGTTGTGCCCTGCATCTGGCTCTGGACGACGTGGACTTGCTGCTGGAGCCCAAGCCCACGTCGATGCTGTAAATGTCTGTCAGAGATTGCACCCTCGCGCTGGTGGTCCCCGAGGCTCTCCTGGGCTCAGGCGTCGAACTCCAGTGCGGACACGGCCTGGAACAGGCCGCTTTCCTGAGCACTCGAGGAGTAGTCCACCGCCCTGGAGCACGGATCCTTCTGTGTAGCTGTCCCAGAGATCTCCAAGAAGAGGCCAACGAGGAGCAGGAGGAGGAGGGTGAGGAGGACCAGAAGGAGGAGGATGCCGAGTTCCTGCCGCCTGGGATGGAAGCTGCAGCCAGCTCAGTTGCCGGGTTCTGCTCTTCAGAGTCCTAGCCTTGGGCCCCCAGCCCTAGTCCAGAGAGACGCTCTCCTTACCATGACTACACTGTGGACTTCTACCTTCCGGAGCCCTTCCCGGACACACCACTCCAACCTCTGCCTCCCTCTCTGAGTTGAAGTTCCCACGAGCGCCCCCAACGCCCTCACCATCCTTAGCGCAAGGCCCAGAGATGCCTGATCCAGGAATGAACTGACTCCCACAATTCCTTACCACCGGGCTTCCAGCTCTTAGTGATCTACCTAGACCCACTGAGAGCACGTGCCACCAGAGATGGAGAATCTTCCTTCATAGACAGCGGGTAAGTGCGGGTTTTATTCTACTTTTGTTGGTGTCTGGTTTGGGGGTTTTTTGTTTGTTTGTTTTTAGCAAAATGCCATAATCGGCGGCAGCAAAAAAAATTGGAAGGCGGGGAAGGATTCTGGTAAGGACTTTTAGCAAGGACAGTAGACCACAAATAGCCAACCATGGATGTTTAGATCCCTTGCCTCTGCCGCACAAGCTATTTCTTTCACCTCTGTCACCTTCAGCCAAGTCCATTTTTCTTGTTTCATCCCTACTCTTGCCTCAAACTCATCTCAATTTTTTCACCAATGTATGCTCTTTTTCATCATTGTCCCATGCACCTCTTCTTTCTCTCCATTCCAGGTTTTCCTTCTTTTTGTAATTATGGTTTTACCTGTATGACCTCCACAGTGTCTTCTGAAGTACTTCTGATCCCCATTTTTTTTAAGCAAGCACAATTTTTATTAAGAAGAGCCTTGTGAAAGAGAAGCAAAGTAAACATGAGTGGTCAGAGGAAGCAGCTGAGGTGTAGCAGGTCCTATGACATTCTCAGCCAAATTTACTGGGAGCTCTGGAGTTAGAATGGCTGGTTAGAGTTGTCCCAGGTTAATCTGATAGCCCAATTCCCTCATCCATCAGTCAGTGGGTGTGAAAGACCAGAGAAGGGCCATGGCCCTGGGCAAGGTAGCTTGCTTAACCTGAGACAAATTCTAAAGGGGATGATAGCTAAAGCCAGTTATAAAAACAACTCTCACTGAAGAAGATTCTGTTTGGTGCATCACACTGTCTACCACAATTTCAAGAAATTGATCCTTTTTATCTTGATGTTCATCTCCATTTTATTCTGGTCTCTGGCAGTTAAAAAAAAAGACTAATTTTCTTCATGTAGGTCTTGAATATTTGGATAAAGTCTGATCAGCAATTTTCCTTTTCCCTTCCTTCTTGCTTTCCTCACACCTTTCCCTGGACCTGGTCAATCAAGATAAATGCATTGTGAATAAATAAATGGCACAAATGTAATACATGGGATTTTGGGGAAGTATTTCCAAAATTGGAATGAAGAAATTATTGAAAGCAATATTTAATGGAAGGAGGAAAGGAAGAAGCCATGATACTGTTTCCTTACAGAAGCAGTCTGTACAATGCCACAGTCTCCTGTACTTGAACAAACAATTGGGTATTTCTGAATTTCATGGTAGTCTGGGCTTTACCGTGATTTCTCCTGGGGGGTGATAAGAACAGATACTCCCTAGGACACACTCAGCCTCATATCATGGACATTTGGTCTGATTCATTATTGAGCATTTTTTCATGCTTATGAGCCCACCACCCAGAACTGGCAGCTGATATTTCTTAGCACTATTTCCTTGAAGTCTTTTTCACTATAAAGAAAAGGAATTATTACAGATAATGTAGTCATATCCTTTGATTCCCATTTCCTGTCCCCTGAGGATTCTCATAACATCATGAATTTGGTGGGTATCATTCTCATCAATATATGAATATAGATATATGTATATAGATATAAATAATCAATACTTATATTGCTTTGTGGACAATTAAATTTTTACAACTAGCATTATATTCTTCAGTTTACTTTTTCCCTAAGCTTTATTTTTGAAATTGTCACTTACAGATATATATATATGGTTCATTTCTCCTAAAGATTTCAGCTTTCATCATATGAACATACCATATTTTATTCATTCATTTATTAATGGATATTTGTGTTTATAGTTTTCAGTATTACAAACAAAACTGTAGTAAACATCCTCACACTTGTCATCTTATGCACCTGAAGAAGAGTTCCTCTAGGAAATATACTTAGAAGCTGTATTGATGAGTGGCATGATATATACATTTACAGTTCTATTAAATATTGCTGAACTGTTCTCTAGAGTGGTTGCAATGGTTTAAACAACCTCTAATAGTCTTTCGCCAAACTATAACACCAAACTTTAAATTGTTTGCCAATGGCATCTCATTTTTTTAATTTGCAATTTCCTCACTATTGGTAAGATAGTGCAGTTTTTCATATGTAATGGGAATAATATTTTTAAAAGCAATTTCAGATAATTTTCATACACTATAAATCTTACTGTCTTTCAACTTATCACCCATCAAATCTAATGGCTTTAACCTTTTCAGTGGTGAGGACACTAGATTTAACATAGATTAAAGCACTTAGCTTCCTGTCTGGAGTTTCAAAGCTGACTATTTAGTCCATTACTAGGCAAGTGTCATGAGACTCAAATTTCTCCAGGCAGAAAAATTACATTTGAATTTCCTAAGTAACCTTTAAATATCAACAGCAAAGTCTAGAAGACTGAACATAGAGTTTTGACAGAAATCATTGTGCATAGAGGACTGAGGAGTTCTAACTGAATAAGAATGCTAAGAGGAAAGGGCCACTCTTACCCAAGAGTAGGATGTGGAAAATAAAAGAGGGACAGAGTAGAGAATGTAAGCATACATCACTCACATGTATCATGACTTCCAGCTTCTATGAGTAAAAAGCTTTAGCATTAGTTGAGGAGAAGGCCAAGAAAAAGAAGGGTTTTTTCCTTACTTCCTACTTAAGAATCAGGGAAAAATAAGATGGAGGATGGTACTCAGACCAGGTGAGTCTCCCCCCACACACCATGCTCCCAGCCACCAGCTTGAGGAGAAGCAAGAGGAAGACAACAGAATCCGAACAGGGAACATTTACAGAAAGGTGCCTGTCTTATCTGAAGGGGAATTAGAATCAAAAATGTCTGATAGTCACTTATCTGTAAAGTTTATAGTGGTGCCTATTCCTCATTCCGCATGCCCAAATCCCCCATACTAATGAGGTGGAGGCTCATGAGGTCAATTACATAAATAAAGAAGTTACACTTTCTCTATACAACTCAGCAGAAATCTGTTCATTGATATATTTCCTTCTCTTTACTGTAAGTTTATAGCCTTGACTCTTTTTCTGTTAGACCTATGAGACCCTTTCTTTATTAATTTGAAATCTTTTTCATATTCATTTTTATATATTAAAATCATCCTTTATGTTTTATAACTTATAAATATTTTCTTCTAGTGTGCCACCTATTTTTTAACTTGTTTAATTGTATATGCCGTAATAATTCTCATATAGCAAAATTTCACAATCTTTTATACGCTGTACTTTTTGTGTCAGTTTAAAAATCATTCCCAAGAAAGATCATAAAGATATTTCCTATACTTTCTTCTGATGGTTTAATTTTTTTTCCAATTTAGATAACTAATTTCTTAGGATTTTATTTTTGTTTATAGTTTGAAGTAGGGATTAAATTATTTCCATATTTAAAGTCATTGCCCCAAAATCAGTTATTGAATAATCAATTGTTTACAATTTATAGTACTAATTCTGTTCTATAAAAATTTCCACCATATGACGGCAAACTAAAGACAATTTCAGATAAACAAAAAACTGAGTGAGTTTGCCACCAGTAAATGCTTGCTAAAAAATCCTAAATGATATATTTCAAGCAGAAGGATCATGACCCCAAGTTGAAGTTATGAGAAGCAGGGGGGAGAAAAGAATAACAAAGAGAAAGGTATATATGTGGGTAAATATAAACAAAGAATGACTGACTTAAAGATTAATAATGTCTTAAAGGGACAAAAAACAAAACAGATAAGATTAAAATATATGCCAACCATCAAAAAAAAGGAGAAAATAAGTCCCAATCAGGTAGAAAATATTTGCAGAGGATGTATCTGATAAAGGACTGTTAGCCAAAATATACAGAGAACTACTAAAACTCAAAAATTTTTAAAAAAGCAATTCTAATAGGGAATTCATAGCAATAACTGTCTATACTAAAAACAAGAAAGATCTCAAATAAACAATCTAAGCTTACATCTGAAAGAACTAGAAATGGAGAACAAACTAAGCCAAAAAGTACTAGAAGGAAGGAGATAACAAAGATTAGAACAGAAATAAATGAAATAAAGATTAAAAAGATGACAGAGAAGGATGACACTAAGAGCTGTTTTTTTTTAAAGATAAGTGAAATAAACTCTGCAAGAAAAAAAAAGAGGGCAGAGAAGGATATAGCTCAGAGGTAGAGCGCATGCTTAGCATGCACAAGGTCCTGGGTTTAACTTCCAGTACCTCTATTAAAAAGAATTTTAAAGAAAAAAAGAGGACTCTAATAAATAAAATCAGAAATGAAGGAGGAGATATTACAACTGATGCCACAGGGGGAAAAAAAAGATTGTATGACATTATAATGAACATACAATGAATATACAGGCAAAAAAAAAAAAGAACAACCTAGAATGATAAATTCCTAGAAACACACAATCTACCAAGACTGAATCAGAAAAAAATAGAAAATATGAACAGATCAATTACTACTAAGGAGACTGAAAAAGTAATCAAAACAAATGTCCAGGACTAAATGGCTTCATTGGTGAATGCTACCAAACATTCAAAGAAGAATTAACACCAATCCTTCTCAAATTCTTCCCAAAAATAGAAGAGGAGGGAATACTTCCAAACTCATTCTATGAGGCCAGCATTATCCTGATACCAAAACCAAGCAAGGACACTGCAAGAAAAGAAAATTACAGGCTAATATCCCTGATGAACATAGATGCAAAAATCCTCAACAAAATATTAGCAAATGAAATTCAACAACACATTAAAAAGATTATATACTATGATCAAGTGGGATTTATAACAGGGATGCAAGGACGGTTTAACATTTGCAAATGAGTCAATGTGATACACTACAATAATAAAATGAAAAATAAAGATCATATGATCATCTCACTGTCAAAGCAATCCTGAAGAAAAAGAACAAAGCTGGAGGCATAACCCTTCCAGACTCAAGACAA